ACGTGCCAGGAACTCCACAAACCTCTCAAAAGATACATGATTGCATCCTAGCATGCTCCAGGGCATAATTTAATAAGTCCTTCAGCGCGGAGTCATTATAGCCCAGCACCTCTGCCGCATTCCTGAACTCCACGGCAAACTCCCTCAGCTCGGTCCCTCGTTGACGGAGGGAGCTCAGGGTCTCCAGCTGGAGTATGCGCTGGTAGAGGGGGTTGGAGAGAGTAGAGACCGGTAGGCGGTGTGAGCCCATTCTCCGCTGAGTCCCCATGTTGGCTGATCCGTTCTGTCATTGCAGGAGAAATGGTTATTTATTTTGATAATAAAAATGAAACAAAAATAAACTCAAACCACCCCGAAGGGGAAAAACAGACAAGGCAGGCCTAAAGCTGCACACATGCAGACACGAAACACACACAATGAGAAATGACGGATCAGCACAGGATTACAGACACCAGGAGAATAAATGGGAAACCAAACGAGGAGGCTAACGAGGGAGACACAGGTGGAGCAACTTAAACTATAATGAGGTAACAAGATGGGAGGGGCAAGACAATAGACAGGAGAGAGCACATGGCAACAAACAAACACAACACAAGCCATGTGCTCACAGAACACAGTCATCTGGTGGCCCTCCTGGGAAAACCCGCTGAAGACCGTGACACACAGCATCTGAAATGTTGTTATGATCATTCGGAAATGCTCGAGCAAAGTCTGACATCAAAGTATTTCTGTATAGTTGCCTCCCAGAACTGTTAAACGACTGCGTTCCCAAACAGCAGCATCCACCTCCGAAAGCAATAACCGCATTCATTGTGTTTCGTCTGCTCGTTCTGAGGTGCAAGTAATTTATTATATAGGAAAATTATTATATTCAGTAGCTTCTCCTACTTTTCTTAGTGATGTATAGTGCCAGTTTATCAGGAAGTGATGATTTTGTTCTCTTTGACTCGTTGGATGGAAACGGTGCTTGTTCGCAAACGTTTTGTGTGACATTCCAATTTTGCGCACAAGTTAAATTCGCAACTTTGGATGGAAACCCGGCTACTGACTCATTCAATATCCATTCAGAATCAAATCAAAGCGATTAATGAGAATATGCCTCTTGAGCTTCAGGGTTCAACTACAGGCTAAAATTAAAGAGGTGGTTGATTATTTGTAAATCTATTACTAGTTACTGCAAAGGAAAATTGTCCAATAATTAAAACAATGAGATAAATTTGAGAGACTTTTGAAAGGTTCACCCTGTCTAAATACAATGAGAGCTGTTTGTGTAACAACTAATTCAATAAAATCATTAATGTAAGTAATCAACAACTATTTCTTTATCAATTATCGAGACTTTGTGCTGTGCAGAGAACTTACAAGCATTCTGTCCTGACAGCGAGTGATTAACTGCTGTTGTCATTATTAAACCGCAAATACATGTGTGCGTGTGGGTCATATGCACATGCCAGTCAATCAATGCAGCACCACAGAAAGAGTGCATCATAATTAAAAAAATAAACACTGTTAAACATTCAAGTTAAGCTTTAAATAACCAAAATGAAACTTTAAATTTTAAATGCAACTCAATTATATATTTATAACATACTGAAAATGAACAGTTAACTCTTGCTAACTACTTTTTTAACAGTTGTTGTGAATTCTTTCATTTCAAATCACTTTATATTTGTAACTTTTACATTTTTTTAAACCACTTTTGCAGACAGTGTATATCATTTTATACACTATTGTTCAAAAGTTTAGGGTCAGTATTTTTTTGTTCCTTTTTTGAAAGAAATTAATATTTTATTTAGCAAGGATGCACTAAATAGATCATAAGTGACAGTAAAACATTTATAATGTTACAAAATATTTATATTATTTCAAATAAATGCTTTCTAATCTTTGGTTTCCACAAAAACATTAAGCACAACTGGCTGATGAGAATTCAGGAATAATTACATTTGAAAATTTAAAACAGAAAACAGTTGTAATAATATTTAACATTTTTATAGCATTTTGATCAAATAAATGCAGCATTGGTGAGCATTAGAGACTTATTTCAAAAAAGCCACAAACTGTTGAAAGGTAGGATATACACTTATTTTTGCACATTGTTTAACCCCTTAACTGTCACCCCCCATTTTTTAAAATAGGCATGAAAGTGCACTATCCAAACTTAAATTGTTGTAATTTATGAACACTTTGGAATACAGACCTAAGGTTGGTCTCTTTCTAAAGAAGAAAATCAGCAGATTATTGCAAAAGATTAAAGTATCAAAAAGTTATAGAAGTTAAATTTTACTGTAAATAAAATGCACTATATTAATTTTATTTTATATATAATAAATATTTTACATAACAGGTTTTACTCTAAAATTGGTATAAAATTAAAGCCTTATGTCTAAACAAGTTATGTTCCAAATTTGAAGTTGATATGAAAAAAATTGAGGCTCTTGTCATATTTTATTTAGGGCGTTATACCACAAACAGCCACTGGGTGCCATCCAAACTCCAGTGAATTTTTTTTAATGCATTTTTCTGTCACAAATGTCTAGATTTCTCTGTCAATATTACTTCTAATATAAACTCTAATATAAATATATACTTCTAATTAAAATAACCACCATATATGGAATCCTGAGACTCAGACCTTTCCAATTATATGTTTTTTGTCAAGATTATAAAAAGGTTTGATTCTAAAAGATCGTAATGCATTTTGTAATATGACACTTGACACTGCCCACGAAGGGGGAGGAGACCGCCAAAAGATTTTAAAGTACCATTTCCATGGTAACGCAATGTTCGATTTCAAAATGGTTTTCACAGGATGAATCTTGGGCTTCTAAGCTTTCAAATGATACATAATTTATGATTATTACTAAAAGATTTGATGGAGAAAAAGGACAACAACAAAAAAGAGCACCAAGTGTGGGTGGGACAGTGACAGGGGAGATGCAGAACATCAGATTAATTGAAATATTAATTCAACAAATTGAGTGATACCTAGTTGCAGTATCTTAAAAATATATAGTTACTTGAATAAGAATGACTGGTGTGGAGCATTTAAACACATTTGGGAACATGAGCATGTCCTGGCAGGCACATTTAAAACCCAAATCCTCACCTGAACACTCAAGACTCATCAATTTGGGAAGAGCGAGGTGTGGTTTGGTTGCAATGTAAACACCAACAAACACACACACATACTGACTACTACCCATGTTATAACTTTATCAGCACATACTGAGAGAAGCTCAGGCGTCAACCTTCGAAGGACACAGAAAAAAACTCTTGGTCCAGTTTGAACTGGTGTTTTCCATCATATTTGAATGCGTGGTGGTCAATTTGCATTTTGAATGCAGAGTCACATGCAGTGATGCAACATCACACTCCCCACACTGTTTTCCTGTAACCAAGGAACTGACATACCAAGAAGAGTGGTCGTAGTTGGATCAGCCGTGAATGACACACAAAGATCCTCATTTATCCCCATATGACCCTGTCGGGGAGATGTGCTGCTGAAGCTTCAATACATTTATGGTCACAAACACATTCATCTGCTTCCAGCAGCCAAGTTATGAGCGTGTCAACAAACACTGTATTCCCTGATTAAATGCAGAACCGTATACAACTTAACAATCAGTCTCTTTTCACAAAACAAAGACTTCCTTAACTTTCACACAAGCACCCGGGGTCAACTTTGTTTTTCTTTTTAGTACATTGGCCTAAAAATTCACTTCATAATCTGACAGATTTCCAAATTAAACTGGACATGCGACAGGAAAGAATTAGGGTGTAACTTTATCCATCGGGAATTGACTAGATGAATGGATCATTAAAAGCAGTCTATATATGTGACGCATGTTGGTTAGTGTGAAGAGCCTTGTGACAGACGCATTTGATGAAAGATTAGTCATTATTTCTTTTAAATAATATGCACCAATAAATCCATAACCAAATTGGGCACTTTAAGAGTCAATTTTGATCTGAAGAGCATTGTATTTCTCCAGTTAGCAGTGCCGGCTTGACATTATCTTTAGTCTACATACACTACTGTTCAAAAGTTTAGAGTCAGTCCCATATTTTATGTTTTTGAAAGAAGTCTCTTATGCTCACCAAAGCTGCATTTATCTGACCAAAAATACAGTAAACATTGTAATGTTGTGATATATCATTACAATTAAAAATAGCATTGCCTCCATTTGAATATATTTTCAAATGTAATTTATTCCTGTTATGGCTGAATTTTGAGCAGCCATTACTATAGTCTTCAGTGTCACATGATCCTTCAGAAATCATTCTTATATGCTGATGCTCAAATTTTTTTATTATCAATCGAAAACAGTTGTGCTTGATAGTGACATATTTTGATAAAAATCTTTCATATTATAAACGGTCACTTTTAATCAATTTAATATGTTCTTGCCAAAATAAAATATAATTTTTTGTTAATAATAGTAATAATAATATCATTAATAATAATAATGTTATTACTAACGCCTTTAATTTTGAATGGTAGCGTAAGTGTTAAAACCTCAGATATGGCGTCTTCATGATTAACACATTATTTTGAGTCTTGCTGTCATAGCTCAAGGTTGGAAATAGCGATGCTAACAATAACTCACTTTGACAAATACATCATTGTAGTCATGTTTCAAAACAATACCAACCTGGTTCAGTGCCAATAAACTCAGAGTGATGAGATTATTTTACTCATGACAATACTGCTCCCTTTCTGCATTTGTATTGCATAAAATACTTTAAAGTTCCTGGTTTTATAACAACTCTCAATATTTGAATAATTCTCACTAATGACCAACTTCGCAAACAGTTTGGTTACACAAAGTATTTGCATACTCCCTCTTGTCTGCGATTTATCTTATATCACAGCTGAATAAACAAAAATGGTGCAAACACACACCTTGCACACACACCTCCTAATCAAACAGTCTCCTCTCTGCAACACAGTTAAAATCCTGTTTGAATACCCATCACTTCCTCTTTCCTGACGGTACCTTTGGCACGATGTCGTTGAAGACGGACAGCCGGCCGGCTAGTCAGACTGGATCCATCATGCTCCTCTTCATTGGCCTGTGAAACCAGCCTCTTCATCCTCAGCAAGCGAGGGCCGGTCTCCCGCGGCCACACTCCCCCCACGTCCGTCGCCGGCAGCCCGCCATCCCCGGAGATGACCGTGGGAACGAGGCTCTTGAGGAATTCCATGTTTGCACTGTGACACTTTCACTCTAGGCGCCTGTGCGGGCGCACAGTGACGGCCCTGCCACCCACCATCACCTCTGAGGAATCAGGCCGTCTGTGACCAGAGAGACGACCGCAGAACAGCTCCTCCACCCAAGGAAAACCACAGCTAGTCAAACTTGGACTTCACCACAGGTTCCTCTTTGTCGTGTCCGTTAAAACTAGAAGTGTCTATATACACACACAAGCACCCAGATGAAGTGGAGATGATCTCTCACTGTAATGCAGAAGCTGTCGACGGTAGATCCAAGATGAGGTACAAGTGAGCACCTGTAGATCCAGCCGCTGAGTTCTTTCACCTGCCCATACTCCACATGCCACAGGCCAGCTGTGAGCACTTCGCAAAGCGTAACCTAAAGTTCACTTGAGCGTTCACACAGCCAGAGACCAACCTTACTACCTGTCTGTTCATGCAGGATGGACTGAACACTTTGATGTGATGATTTGACAACAGTAGGCGGAGCCTTTCAGCTCGAGTGTGTTATCTGGGGGGAGCAAGGACGTGTCCAACGGGAGATAATGTACGCCTGGGAGAGCATCCAATCAAAACACAGCTGCTACCAACCACGCCCAGACGTTTCTCCTTTCTAAAAGAAGGGAGGGAGGAAGACTCATCTGTCTGTGATGGCTAGGGAGTGCATAACAAAAAGTGAGAAGGCGTGGCGTCTTCAGTGTGCTGCTGTGCTCTGATAAGTTTTATCAGGTTTAAAACTAGAGCTGCTCTTCACATTCCCCTCTTACGCACACATACACAATTCTATCTATAACTTCCCTTACATATTTCCCTTCCACTGGATGAAAAAAAAGGATCAAATAATACCTCACAAGGTATGCTGTCAAACAGTTGAAATGTCTCCCGCCCACACACACTGATGGTTTCACTTCCAGTTTACAGCAGGGCAGTGGGTGAACCAGTTTATGTGGCATGTTTTGATCTGCTAAACTGCAGACTGACACGTTTGTCAAACTTTACTCTGGTAAAAACACAAACACACTCACATAAAGACTATATGGACAAATAAAAAGCATATGAGCACATTTATACAGTGATACAAGAGAAATATTAGAGTTTTCTAGTTGGCTGGGCAAAATGTAAGGTGTCCTGAGGTAAATCAATGGAAATGTTTGTGTTGGGAAGCATTTTGCATATAGCAGGCCTTTCTGCTGACTCACTGTAACATATTCAAATGAGCAGGCTGCTTTCGCTGACAATGGACATCGTAATTACACTAACTTGCTGTCTGAGCCTCCATTCAATACAATAAACTGACTCTTCGGAAGAGCATGGAGTTATGGATGACTCCTAATATGCACACATTTTCTCATTTCAAAGCATCTCATATGTCAACCTTGGTAAAGGTTTTTTTAATTATTCAACAATATTGAAATGGTTCACGATTATTGCACTACAATTTTTTATATTTTAAAAGTGCCAGTACATTTACATTTACAATTACAACCTTAAAGTAATGGTATCACATGATAATACAATTATACACACATACACTCATAAAATATACACATTTATTATATTTCAGCAACCCCCCACACCTTTGAACAGGAGAGAATATATGCATTTTGTAATTAAAAACTGTAAAAGTTTGTTTTAAAAGCTCTTCTGAAGAGTCAGTGAAGGACAAGTCGGTCCTAGTTAAGAGCCTCTCAAAATACAAAACTTCCACAGCGCCACCAGGAGGGCAGACAGGAGCTCCAGAAGAAGGAAATTACCTCAACACCATACAGAAAGTACTCTGATCCAAAAGTGGCCTGATATAACCTCATTCGTTCACAAGACTCATATCTCAAAGTGATGTCCCCAAAATGATTCACAGGAAACGCTCACACCCTTAAGCTCCGTGTGAACATGTCAGGCAAGCCATTTGATGTTTCAGTTTCTTAATGTGTGAGCAGACAAAACATATGCGCATAGATTGTTATTAAATAATCTCTTAATGTCTTTTTATGTTAGTGTTACCACAGTGTTACCCATTTCTGGCATAAAGACCCTTTGATATCTAGCACCCAACAAATTAATAGTGTTGCATAAGTTTTAAGTAGCATGAGAACGAGAAGAATAAGTTCAGACTGAGCCAACTCTGTGTGTGTGTGTGTGTGTGTGTGTGTGTGTGTGTGTGTGTGTGGCTCAAATCTCTTTACAAGTCTGCCCTCTAGGGGTAGCCAAAAGCAATGCCAGCAAACCTCAGGACAAGGTAAAACAAATGTATGAGCATGTATATCATTTTGTGATAAAGAGAAGAAACTGGTACTTGTACTACTGTGCAAGTCTCTAAAGCACAAAATAAAAATCAAAGCCTGTGGAAAGATTTTCACAATTTAATGTTTCTTTGACTACTGGCACTTTTATCTTCCGGGGCAGATTTTTAAAATATAAAAAAAAGTTAATCATAATCATAAACATTTGCAATAATCATAAACCATTGAAAAATTAACAAACTTTTACCAAGGTTGAAATACAAGATGCTTTGAAATGAGATGACAAACAAAAATCAAGGAAAATGTGTGCACAGAACATTTTATTGCACTTCATTTGTGCAAGTGATATAATAAAACATGTTTGAGAAAATACCTAATTTGGTTTGCTGTAAGCAGCATAGACTAGACCAGTGGTTTTCAATCCTGTTCCTCGGGACCCACTGCTCTGCACATTTTGCATGTCTCCCTTATCTGACACACTCATTTGAGTTCATGGAGCTCTTTCCTAATGAGCTGATGAAGTTTGAAAACCACTGGACTAGATGACATGAACTGAACAGGTGATAACACATCCGCTCCTAAACAATGATGTGAAAGAATCACAGATTTCTCTGGAAAGTTACTAACTCACTTATTATTCATAACACACCTTTGCCGCAGACACATAAACACAAAACTTATATCGGATGACAGTAAAACGCTTTCAACCTTAATGATGAAACAATACAAAAGCAGAACCTTTGACCGTGACATTGAACCACACTCAAGGTCCTGTTTGCAAGAGAAACCATGTCAAAGGTCTGTGTGTGCATTAAAAAGTTAAATAAAAACCAAGTTCAGACAGAGTGGCCTACATTTACAGTGATGATAGAGTGATGAAGACCCAGTCCCAAATGGCACAGGAGGAATGTAAGGGCTGATGGGACCATTTGGACAAGGGCAGAAGGCAACAGGGGACAGAAAGTTAGAGGGAGAGGATAAACTGATGAATGTGGGTCACCTATCAATAGATGATCTGAAGCCACCATGTGATGGTGACCCTAATCTGATATCAAGAAAACACAGACTTTCAGTACACTGAAGTGCATTAAAGAATGGCAACAAAGCTGAAAACAGAAGGCAGGGCTTGACAATAAAGGTACGGTGATATTTACTGCTGCTTGTCAAAATTCCCAGGTGAAATAAAGCAAAGGACAGATTTTACAAAATATGATGAATGATTCAGGAATAATGATGACAAAAACATCCAAAGTTAGCTAGTAAACAGAGCTGGGTAGTAACTGATCTGGATTACATAATCAGATTCCAAACATTTTAAAATACTCGTAATCAGACTACAGTTATTTTTTATGGATTACATGATTACATATTTACACAATAGCAACACATTATTCATAATTTATTGATTCTCCCTAATTCGTCTTTTTCATCTTTTAAATTTTCCTTTCTAAAATAGCCTACCACTTACATACACTCAGAAAGTCTTCCAGCATTTGACCACTGGATTTACAAAAATCATTTCAGGTTTAAGAAGTGTTTCAACAATGCATAAACTACTGATGAACACACTAGTTTTATTTGAATTATCACTCTGCAGGTTATTTAAACATGTATTTCTATGACTTTGGAAGGTCTTTTGTCTTTCAAACACATTAAAATGCACAAATTCACAAACTTTTTTGTCATTTGATCCGCTTTCACTAAATATAATTACTTGATACCCCTGAGATTTTAAAATAAATATTTTAATAATTAAATATCACATTTGCATGTTCTCGGTTCTCTGACGTTGGTTATGGCCACATGACATGCAGGTAAACAAATAAAATATAATTTTTTTTAGTAAGCATTTTATTTTGATTGATTTTAAAATGATTGATTTTAATTTAACATTTTTGTGATTTAATTATTAGCTATGAATTTTTAACAAATGAAATGTCTTCACCACTAAAGGTCCATCTCTCACAAAAGTTCACTGAGCAACGGTTTTTCCATCAAAATCAATCACAGGAACAACTTTCCCAGCAAATGAAACAACTTTTCTGCTGATGAAACTGCTGGGAAAAAAATAACCACTTTCTCACCTTAGTCTGACATACAGTTTTTATGAACATCCTAATCCCTAAAGAATAAAATCTTTTCTCAACATTATTTTACCACTGAATATTTTATTTCCACCACAAATGGATCACATTTGAAAGTTAACACTGTTAGGAATGCCGTCATGTTGTCTGAAGGGACACACCACCCAAAAAAAGAAAATTCATCTATCATTTACTCACCCTCATACTGTCCCAGATGTGTGACTTTCTTCTGTGGAACACAAACAGAGCTTTTTAGAAAAATTATCCATCTCCGTTAGATTGGACCATCAAAGTTAACACTTAAAAAACCACGCAAATCACACATGCGGTAATCTATACGACCCTAGTTGATGAATCAAATGTCTTCTGAAGTGAAACAATAGGTGTGTGAGAAAAACACCGATATTTAAAACTTTTTAAGCCATAAACTATAAAGCATGATGTAAGCCTGTTGTGAAACTTGCATGAGAAGTGACAGTCCTTTGCGCTTCCGCATCACTTCTCATGCACAAGTTTCACAAAGCGCTTACATCACACTTCACAACATGCTGACATCAAGTGTGCCGCACACATCCTGAAAAGTAAAGCCAAAACATTTTGATTTCCCACTGGTGGTATAGGTCATAAATACCACACTCTCCATGTAAACGAATGGGACGTGAGCCAAACTTATGCGCACTACTGTGCAAACTCAGGCTCCAAATGACATCATTGGCGCATGATGACAATGGCCATTCCTGGGACATTTTGGATTCACTTTTCTACAGTGAAACCAAGTGGAGACGCATCATCCATTTAACAGTCTATCGCTGATATTCATAACGTGCTGGCAGATATTCAGATTTTTCCTCGCACATACACCTACAATTTCACTTCAGAAGACATTGATTCATCCGCTAATTCATTACGGTCATGTTCGTTTTGCATGGTTTTTAAAGCATCACCCAGAGATGGATTATTCTTCTAAAAATCATCATTCATGGCCCACAGAAGAAAGTCATATAGATCTGGGATGGCATGAGGGTGGGAAAATTAAGAGAGAATTTTAATTTTTGAGTGGAGAATCCCTTTAAATTAGGGATGGGCATTCCAAGCAAAAATAATATTCGAAAATCGCTGAGTATTAT